CCCCACTGCGCCCCCCATGTGGATGCGATCAGAGGGGTGGGATGGAGATGGCAGGATGGGCCAGCACAGGGCACATGGACTGATGCAGGGCTGTGGCTTACGGCCACAGCAGTTGTTACGCTAAGGTGCCTTTTGGCTGCTCTCATTCCCCAAAGAAATGTCCCAACCCAGCAGGGTGGCAGCATTCATGGAAAGGGCACCAAGGGGCTCTGACAGCGGGTATCGGGGAGCGTCTTGCAGCCCCACAAGTGAAAAATCACCCTGCTGGGTGCCAGTACCATGGGCTGGGGGCTGCAGCGTGCAAGGCCCTCTCAGCACGTGTGCCCAGCATGCACACAGTGTGTGTGTACCCACAGGGTGTCATGGTGTGAGCTCATCCCTGCTAACACAACGTGTGCACCTGCAGAGCTGCGTGTGTGCACCACGCTGAGTGTCCATCTGGGCACATCATGCATGCACACCTATGCACACACACGCGTGTGCAGGTGCACGTGTACACTGTGCTGGCGTGCCGCCAGGCCTGCCCATGTCTGCCGGCGGGTGTGCATGCACTCAGGGCCAGGGCTGAGCCCTGGTGTGCCAGCACGCTGGGTTTGCAGCCCCGGGGAGACGGTGTGTCCAGCACCATTCACAGTCTTGGCATGCTCGAGCTGGCTTCCTGCCGGCATTTCTGTTCTGTACCTGCCAGTTGCAGGGAGGGCGTTGGGAGTCAGTTTACAGAGTTTGTGCTAATAATTACCCAGGTGGTTACTAAATCTGGGATGAGCTAAGGACTCAGAAGAGGGAGTGCGTGCCCGGAGCGCACACACGCGTGCAAAGCTGCAGCCAGGCACTGGGGCTCGAAGCCACCGGCAGGCAGAGCACAGCCACGGCTCTGAGGTACACGAGGACACGTGAGTGCAACATTGCACACATGTGACAGTCACGCTGGCCTCCCAGCCCCAGTGGGTTTGCTCAGCATTCCAGCCTCTCCATGGCAAATGCAGAGAGCAGGGGCGGTTCCTGCCCCACGGCAGTGCCCCACAGTGCGCTGTGCTGCCTGTGGGGACCTTGCAGCAGGCAGCCACGCAGCAACCCCAGTGCTCAGCTAGGCACCTTGAAAGCAGGGGTCATCAGAAATAAAATCAATGGGTACTTGATGGCCATGTGGAAGCACCTTCGTGGGAGACAATCAGTATGGCTGGAGAGCTCTTGAATCCAGCAGGGAGAGAAGAACTGTGGCAACAGGCAGAAGCTGTAGCCAGACACGTTCAAATGAGAAATAAGAGTTTTAGCAGGGCAGGTGATTAGCCACTCGAAGCAGCCTGCATGGCACAGGCTCCTGCAGCTCCTGCTGTCTCCCAGCATGTCTCTCCCGGTGTCTCCTTCTGTCTCTCCTGGTGGCCACAGTCCCAGGCTTTATACTGGGCACCTGCAAACACGCTCCACTGGGGAGACCTCGTAGCCTTGTGCCGTGCCAGTGCTGTCCCAGCCCCTGCCACAGCCGCTTTCTTCATCCAGACACATGGAGAGCTGTGTCCAGCCCCGCAGCAGCCACGCAGGAGAAAGACATGTCAGGGAAGGCAGGCTTGCGGGCTAAGCGCAATCCTGCCTCAGGCATCCACTAGCTACAAGATTTTGGCCAAGTCAGTGTCTTGTGTGGCCTGAGATGGGGCCTGTCTTGCCGTTCAGACTGGCTGCCAGGAGACATCCACTCCCGGGGTCCCTGCAGAGGGAGGTGGGTGAGCTGCAGGGTGATAGCACAGGGAGGGTGCTGAGCCCTCGGCATGCGGCTGGGTGTTGCACTATGGGGGCTGCCCAGCTCCGCTCCCTTTCCCCCTTCTGTGCCAGCAGTTGCACTGCTCTGTGAGGCAAACTCCCACTGCACCCACGCCGGGGCAGAGTCCTGGCTCTGCTCGCCCCGTCGCCCCAGCTGCCCTCACAGGAGGTGGGGAGCCATGACCAGTGTCCCAAGTGCCACCCACGCCCCAGCACCCACGGGGTGACGGCGGGGGTGCCGCTCCTCTCCAGAGAGCCGGGAGCCCCCCGCAGCCAGCCAGCTTCCCCGCCAGAGAGAAGCTGTTAGCCGGGAATTCTCTTGCTGGTTGTAACCGCTGCCCGGAACGCTATGCAGGGCAACAGCGATTCTCGTCCTCCGTGCTTGCTTTTTCTCAGAATGGGGCTTGG